CCCGAACTACCAGGCACACTTATCCCCCTCCCCCGATCTACCAGGCACACTTATCCCCCCTCTCCCGATCTTCCAGGTACATTAATCCCCTCCCCCGATCTACCTGGCACACCGGCTTATCCCCCTCTCCCGACCTACCAGGCACACTTATCCCCCTCTCCCGATCTACCAGGCACACTTACCCACCTCTCCCGATCTGCCAGGCACACTTATCCCCACTCCCACGATCTACCAGGCACTCTTATCCCCCCTCCCCCGATCTACCAGGCACACTTATCCCCATCTCCCAATATACCAGCCCCCTCTCCCAATATACCAGGTACACCGGCTTATCCCCCTCGCCCGATCTACCAGGCACACTTATCCCCCTCTCCCGATCTACCAGACACGCTTATCCCCCTCTCCCGATCTACCAGGCACACTTATCCCCCCCTGCCCCGATCTACTATTGTCTGGTGATGTCACAGGCCATAGTAGCTACCTTGAATTCCTAAGTTTAACAGTCTGCATTTAAAGTCCATTGAAGTCCTCATTACCAGAGACTCGTGACTTTCTGTACGAACAGGCTTATTCAAGGTTTGAAGAGGACGTCATGACAGTATTGTTCCCCAGTTCTCTAACAGTATGAAGGAGATATCCGAAAGTTTCTGGTCCAAAAAAATCATTCATATGTAATAGTTCTTGTTGCCATTGTTTTGAAAAAGTACATTGAGAGGCAGGTCCATCTACGGAATAACATGACAGACATTTAAATGATTCTTTATTGAATGATGTTGCCGTGCGTTTGAATCTATCGATATTCTTCGTTTAAAATCGAACAGAGGTACTGTTCAGGAATACGTGTACAAACAAATACTTTCATAGGACTAAATAACGTCATAATGCGTACAATGTATTTAAAAACGTAAAATGAATTGTGTAATCAGAGATAGTGAAGATAAAGAAATAGGGTTTACTTTGGCCTGTTTCACATCAAAGTGACCAAAAAATGTTCTAATTCGGATGTCTTATTTTGAAAAAATACACACCACTCCCTGTAATCTGAAATAAAAATATTAATTTTCACGACCAGTAAAGTAAATTTACAAGTCGTATAAATTTGTTTAAATAGTTGGATTTTTTCAAACCTTCATCTTGTCACGATATATAGCCGTAAAGCGTCAAATTATAGTTAATTTATAGCGGCATGTAGACATACATTTTGCGAAAAGTCGTGTTCATAAAATCAAATAACACGACCTGAGCCTGTGTTTATGAAATTATTTTGTCTGGTATACAGAAATCGAGCAACCGAATAGCCTGTTTGCTGTCAACACTTTACATTTTTATTGTATCACATGATTTGAGCGATTTACAAGAATGCGGTTTTTTTCAATTCTAGAATAGCTTGTGGTTTCGTTCACATGCGTTTAAGCTGTGGTAGAATATCACGTAGTTATCTTTCTTTGTGTGGAATTTAAAGATTTGCATAACGGGTCTTAATTATTGAGACGCTCATACTATCAGTTGGATTGCGAATTTTAAAACACTGATTGACACTGAAGACGACCACGCCTGATAATTGACAAAACGTTACAATGCTGAATTGATTTCCTTTGTAGTGGGTGGACTTTGTCAGAGGTCAATTGTTCATAAACAAATTAGCAGCTTGAAATCCAAAATGAAGTTGTTTCTGCAGTCAAAACATCTACTAACTTAAGCCTTGTCTGCAAACATGTAGAGTATTATATGTCATACTTGAATAGCGAAGTAAGCTTGCTTGAAACCTAAGGGAAGTATATCTCTCTCCCAACTATTCCATCTTATTCTCAGACTGTGCAAGTACAGTTTGAATCAAGAGCTCATATGGGCGGGGTTAATCAAGGCTTATCCAAATGTCATACATGCCGTTGCTTCTGTTTAACACAACACACGTTAAGATGTTTTGGAAATGATATATATATCTTTTGATCAGACCTATAATAATAATTATTATAGATGGTTTATCAATTCTTTTCAATTTGCTCGAGTTCAACTGGAGCTATCACCTCATAATCTGTCCGAAATAGAAAACTATTCCTCATGTTTACAGCATATTTCTGTTAATGCTCCATAATTGTTTCATACATTAGTCTGATCAACGGAAACAATTTACTACTTTTAAAACATGTAACGTGTGATCGTCTAAATAAATATAACAGCTTGAAGCAAGATAATGTCAATTAAATCAAATGATAATTAGATGGTAATATTAGATTTATAAATTAATTGATGATAACAATTAAAGTCTGATTATACATGATTTGTAATCTTTATCGACAGAAACCAGTTTAAGTATTCCAACTGAAGTTTTTATTTATATTTCAGTTTTTTCCATGAACTATCTCATTATTGTTATCGTACATATCAACGTTACAAAATAATGTTTCCAAAGTAGACAAAAGGGAGGGAATATATTATACTACGGTATGGAAAGTAATGACATCACTAAAGGGATCAACGGATTGTGTAAGGTATAAAAAGGATATTAATTGATAGACCCATGACAAATATGAAATTCTGAACCACATTAGCCATATTCAAATAACCCTATATATAATACAACACATACAGTTATGTTCGTTACGACAACAGCTCCCTTCACAATTGTTACATTATATATTTTAATTATGTATTATTATTTTAAAATCGTTACATTAGCCAAAGTCGACCAAACACAATAACACTTTTTTTTTATTAATCTGTGTAGGAGTTACATTACAAAGTGTTGAGGCAATGTTGAACATTTCAGCTAATTAAGAAACGCTGACAAAAACAAGACAGCGACGGACGTTTTGTTCAACACATATATCCCATTACATGAACAATGCATCAAAAACAAATTGAAAATGTAGCTTAACTTTTTTAACTAACTATGTAGGAAGCATTTGAATGAATACTTGTGGGATTGATCATGTGAAATATACCATTGTTTAGCGGGGTTACGTGTAAAACAATATGTAAATTACACCATTACGGCTAATTAACCAGGTCAAAATGATAATACCTTTATGTTAATACATAAAATGTTACAATGTTTAGAAAACTAATTAACAAAACGCATAGACATTATCACAAATGCATCCAAAACCAGTCATTGCGTCTCTCTATGGGGATAATATTACCACTCCCTATTACCGACCTGAGGCAACCAACTTTTTCACATATCCTTTAACAGGACAGGTTATGTTTGCACAGTAAAAAATAAATAAAAAATAAACATGTGTATATTTATATAATAATATCTCAGCATAAACACAAACATATGTTTATATTGCTTTTCTATAGCACACTTATCAAATATGAAGCTATCAAACACTGTTTATATTACTTAACCGGGTTTCTTTGTTTTTCTATCAAATATCAAAAATACATATTTTATATCAATGTTACACAGTCTAAAATATCTATTCATAGAAACGGAATAGATAAAACATATCCTGATACGCTTTTTGATTCGTCGACTGTGAATTGTAAAACTCCATTGTAGTCAACGATAGGGATATATTTGTGCAGCCTTATATAAACAACCGACGTAAACACTGATCTTAGGATTTTTTTATATCAAGGTACCGTAGAAGAGGATATTTTATTTTCGCGGGTCATTCACGTGATCACGAAAATATGATCCCCACAATAATATGACAAGCGTAAAATGAACTGCGATAATACACCTCATCATAGCGAAAATGTGCCTGTTACAATCAATTTCATCAAAGACTAACCCAACAATTTGTTTTCACTAATGTTAAGTCAAAACTGCGAAATTCAAGCCTTCGTAAATAACCCGTTGTACGGTATTACATTTCGGTGTTTGTGACGTTTTAAATACGATGTTAGAATTACTTGCTTGTTTAAGTAAGGCATCAATAAATATCAAGAAAGGTCAAGAAGCTGAAGGATTATTTTAAAGGCGACTTTTAATGTTAATGATCATATCGAAAGTAGTTATTCTGCGGTATGAAATGTTCGTGTGCAACATTAAACTGTATCAGCGGACTGGTAACGTTTGTACCCTTTTGATCATTCCGGGTAAATAACTGCCCGGGTTTGTAAGGCTGTAGAAACTCTTTTTGTCAATTATCGTTTTTCAATTGCACTTCGGAGGATCCCATTTTTTGGTGGG